ATATATATATATATATATACACACACATATATGTGTGTGTAAATATATACATATATATACACATATATAAGATGAATTTGAGTTAAGATTTCTGTGAGTAGAATGAGATAAAAATGGATCTTAATTAGGAGAAAAATCATCTTAGCACAAAAATTGTGATCTCTCTCCTTCTCTCGAATGTGTTACTGTTATTTTTCTTCTTTTTATGACTCAACAATTATTTTATTTCTTTTTTTTACTATGAATTTTAATTTTTAATTTTCATATTGTGAAATTAGAATGTTTTATATTTTAAAAAAGAAAATTAATATAAGACATTGCAGTATCTTAAAATTTAATACTAAAAATATTTCTTCACAAGTAAATAATTGAAAGCAATTAAAAAATTTTAAAAATTATTTTGTACTTATAGCAAATTTCAGATATTTTTTTCTCCTAGTTGATATTTGTAAATTTCTACTTTAGTACCAATATAAAATGAAGGGACATATTTAGTTATAAAAAAGTAGGGTAGCTGTCTCATTATTTTTTTAATCATTTATAAATTTATAAATAAAATATTTTATATCACAAGTTATAAAAAAGTTGAAATGTTTAGAATAACTTTTAACATGTGCAGCACTACATAACTTTCTTCGTAAAAAATGTCATTTTGATGAATTTTCAATTGGAGTGATGGATGAACTTTCATGTTCAACATTACCAATTAATGAAAATCATAATTTTGGCCCTATTATTAAAATCCATGAACAAGAGCGAAAAGATGTTAATGTTTGAAGACCTAGTATAACTATAGATATATGAGTGAATGATGCTATTTAGAACGCTACAAAAAAATGTGACTTATGGCAGTTAGTTTGGTAGTTTCTGGCAGTTAAAAACTGTCACAAATTACATTACCGGATAAATATTTTGTAAACGGTTTCCAAAAATTCAATCTCTTTGTGGCGGTTTCAAACAACCAAAATTTGTTTGACTTGTTTTATATTTTCTAACAGTTTAAAACAGCTACAACATTCATCTAAATTTGTCCTTTATGGGGGTTTTAAACCGCCACAAAATTGTAGTTTTTTTTTAGTTTCACCACATTTTTTTTCAAACCACATAACATAATTTTTTTTATTTACTTATAGTTAAATATTATTTTTTGAAAATAAAAAATATTATGAAAACAACTTTTTACTGTCATAATCATTGGGAAAGAAAAAAAAATAGATGTTATAAGATTTGACATATGTTAAATAGAAAAATGGGTATTATTAGTTAAATCAATCATAACATGATATATTAACACACATTATCATTAACAAAAAAATTTAATCTCAAAGACTAATTTATATAACAAAATATTAATAAAAAAAATTAAAATCAAGTTAAGAGGAAATAAAAATTGGATTCTTAAAATGTTGAACAACTAAAAACTTATTTAACCCTTTTTAATGTATTGGATTTTGCTGTCTTGAATATCAGAAATAGATATAAAATTAGAGTAGTACGATTAATAGAATGTTTGGCCATCAATTTTAACAAATCAAATCCATGTCAACCATAATGTAACAAATTATTCTCCACTTCATGCTTTGAGATGTGTGAATGTCCATTACAAATTAAACAAACGGTTCACAAACATGTTCTAAAAATGCTGACACGTAAGAAACCATACACAAAAATACTTATTTTGGAAAGTGAAGGCATTACTCCACGAGATTATCATGGAAACACAGACAGCTAAAAAAGAAAGGAACAACTAGCATGTGCTATTATAAGAAGAAATGTAAAAAGTCCACTTGGAAGTTGAAATGAAAATATTCTTTAGTTTCCAGTCCAGGATAAGAGATATATCTATCATTATAAACATGTCCGCATATCAATGAAAAAAATGCACATTAAAAACAATCAAAGATCTAACAGGCAAGTGGCTTCTTATTAGCTAGGAATAACGTAGAAGTTTTGATCTAAAAGGATTGTTGATATACAAAAAGCATTAGAATTATCAATGAAATTGTAAACCTACCATAAAGACAACATTTGTGATGGAACCAACTTCATTTGTGAGCAGGCGTCTGGCAAAAACAGCCTGCTCTACTATTTCTGCAGTAGTAAGATGTCTCCTAAGACCCATTCTGCAAATTAATTATGCATAATAAACTTGCAGGAAAAGTATGACTCAGTGTAACCACCAAATTAATATCAACAGGTAAAAATAAGGCTTGCCTTCCAGTGTAGCAAAATTGACAATTCATGGCACATCCAACTTGACTCAAAACACACACAGTAGTCCTACCTCTGTCACAAGGTATGACAACTGTTTCTATGACCATCCCATCATCCAATGTGAATAAAATCTGCAATATCCTATGAGTTGAACAGTCAACAAGAATACTCTCTAGAAACACAACAAAATATAAGCAAGCTATGCAAGTAATTGTGAAGCTATAAGCCTAAATATAAGTAACCTCCAGGCTGCATATCACTGTCTTGCTAGATGGATTAAATGATGAAAAATATGAAAACAAAACAGAGGAAGATCAATTTAACCTTTCTTGTTCCATCGGATGCTGTGTGAATTTCTTTCAAAGCAAGAGCCTTGAACTCAGCATTTTCATTCAACATTTTCCACGTGCCCGCATCTGGACCAAGGTCTTGTTTCTATGGAAGAAGTTAATTTCATCAGCTACACATTTCCCATAAAATAGGTAATAGTCACTTTTATTTTTAAAAATAAAGATGCAAGGGATATCTAAGACTAGGACACAAATAAAGCGCACACAGATCCAAGTGATAAAACTTTTAAAAATTAGACAACGCAAACCCTCAAAGAACCACTGTCCACTGGCAGTGGAAAACCCTATTATTTTTCTTAGAGAAATAATAATAATAATAATAATAATAATAATGCCTAGGTGACCTTTCCATAGAAACATTTTCAACCTATACCTTTGAAAGCAATGAGCAACAAACTTTGGCAACAGCTTTGTTCCCTTGTTCACCACTGTCATCTATAGTACTGCATCAATACCACCTTTCTCAGCAATGGATTTACATATTTCATCCTGCAGCATAAAATAAAAATATAACCCAAGGCATCAAGACAATGCATATTTGAGTCAGCACTTCAATTTGACATTGTTTGTAAGGCTGATACAACATACCAAATTTAAATATTGAAAAACACTAAAAGTATAAGGGGATAAAAAGCAAGACCTAGACTTCAAGCCTCCTAATTGTTGATATATTAATATCAACTATCTACTAACTATGCAAGACTTTGTTGATATATTAATTATTAAGTTTTATTAAGCATTACTTATTAATTTATCCGCTGTGTTATAAACACAAGGTATGAAGATATAGAAATTGGAGATGGAAGATGATTAACATTCCTCTAACCCACTCAAGCACTCGTTCCATTATGTTTGTGCCCACTTTGTCCATTGGGAGACAGTTAACATGGTGATTCTGATTCACTGTAGACTAGTACTACAAAAGATGAGCTTGCAGAATCTATGGAAGTAATAAGTGATAAAAACACATATCAATGTCATATATGTATAAGGTATATTGTACTATAGTAAATATCTTGGATATTATTAGGATAGATAAATATCTCATTGTATCTATGATATTTTTTCCTACTTCCCTTTTTTTTATGTTAGTTCCCTATTTCCCTCAATCGGCTCGATCATTTACCCCATAGGAGGGGATAAGTGCATGTATTACAACACACTGAATTGTAAAAGTTCCTTTCATTCTAGTATAGCACAATTTATACTCATTATATAATTTTTTATTTATATCATTCAGTGGGGCCATGCATGAATAAGAAATGCAGTACTTTGCCATCAAACAGTTTTCAACCATGGAAATGTCATTCTTAGAAATAAGAGAATTTATTTACCTCAGTTGGAACACGAATCAGTGAAGCAGCAATGCCTCCAATGGCACCTGCAATCTAATGAAATTGAAAAAATACCAGAAGATTTTTATCCCCATAAAAAATGATAAAATTTTACAAGAAAAGTATATGCCAGCAAAAGAAATGATAAAATAGACAAAGTATCACCTCCAATACAAGCCAAATAAATGCCAAAGACTTCACAGGACCATAATTGGTCTAAATTCAAACTTGAAAGCAATAACAGGTCTTTAATTCACTTAAATTTTCATATACCAATTGGAATTTTTGGGGAAGAGATGATATTTTTTTCTCTAATTCTTATAGAGTCATACAGTGCTAGATTATAAAAAGGTACGAGTTTGGTTAAGAAATGTCAACCAATCTACAACAGTTCAGGATAAAACAGGAGAAAAATATGGGATAAAAAACTGAAATTTAATTTTGTTCAACATTGGATAATTTAGATCTTATCATAATTATAACGAATCTTAACTTTCCTAACAAACATTTAGACAATATCTTCATACCAAATAGCAACACCATAGCACACAAATAACAATACCTTCAAATTAGACTTCCTCATAGTTTCATAATACGCCTTAAGAGTGTCATAATGACGGCGAAGAAATTTCAACGGCTAAAGAACTGAAGTCATAAGTTCGTATTTCTTGTCAACAAAACACAACAACACATCCCAATTTCAAACACATAAAATTAAATATAAAAGAAAGCTAAAAATCCTCATTCAAATCAAAATTTGTTCCGTTCGAGCATACAACTAGGTTTACCTCATCACAACCTTCTGCAATCCCTAGTCGGGATCTTGAACCCTCTACACGCACAACTCTAGTTGCTGCTTCAGTGCCAAATCCTCATCGGACTGCACAAATTACCACAATCGATTTTCATTTTGTTGCAAGAGAAAGCAGAGTAGAAATTTACAGTCTAGAATGAGAGAAAATTTGAAGAGAGGCTTTTGGATTCACCAGATCTTCGTTCTCGACCTTCTTCTTTGCAATGGCGTCGTCTTTGGTGGCGCTGGTATCGGAGTGATTAGGATCGGGTGCCTTTGAAGAAATTGAAAACCCTAAAAGCGAGAAGGGGACTGAACTACGACAGAGAAGAATTTTGAAAGAAGTTTGAAAGAAAGAGAAGCATGCCACAGAGAAAACGTATTAGATGATATAGAAAGAGAACTACGACAGAGAAAGAGAACGCCTAAGAATAAGTTTTTATTTTTATTCTTTTAAAAAAAATAAAAATATACTTTAATTAAGCTGGCCACGAAAGATTGTGGCAGTTTTTAACCCCCGAAAACGTAAATTTTTGTAACGGTTAAAATAACTGCCAGAATTATAATATTTTGTTTAATTGTTTGAAATTGCTAGAAAATAATTGCTACTAATTACTTTTTTTGTAGTGGAAAAACATATATTACAAATAATTATTATTATTATTTATTCAGACATTGTTGTTTTTTTTATTATTTTAAAATTTGAATGTATAGAAGAAAAAAAAATTTGAACTCTTATCGTATGTCAAAAATCTACAAAATTTTGTAAAGTTCACAAAGTCCCACAAAATTCATTAAAATCCTAACTTAAAAGTCTAGCAGAATCCATTAAAATCCTTATTGAAAGTCTTGTGAAATCATACAAAATCTTAAAAGTCATGAAAATCTTGCAAAGTCTTTTAAAATCTCCATGACTTTTTTCAACTAAAAAAGTTCTTTAAAATCTTAATCCAATACACCTGCCTTAATCCAACTAAATTTTCCTACCGAATTTCTTGGAGAAAAATTTGCAAGAAACTTTCTTACGAATTTTTTTTTGTAGGATTTAGGGTTTAGAAAACTTTCTTGCGAATTTTTTTGCTAGAAATTCTGAGGAAAATTTCTTACGAAAAATTCAAAGAAATTACTACAAATTCTATTAATAATTCTTCAACTTTCAAATGCTCCCAATGAATTTATCCAAAGCATTAAGAAATTTGCTTTCAAATCTCCACTTTGTATATATTACCTTTTAAACTCTTACACAATAGATTATAAGTCTAACACTCAACCATACAAATCAACTTGAAAGGTAATGTTGTCCCAACTTATATACTCTTTAATTGTTTTAATTCCAATGAATGTAAGACTTGAAGTTTTTTTTAATATTAATTAGATCATGTCTTTAGAAAAATGATTAATTTATTATATTGAACAACAAAATTATATTATTATAAATTATTTTAACTCTTAAAATTTTAATATTCTAAAAAAATAGTTATTTATTTAATAAATATATTTAAAAAATTATCATTAAATTAAAACTTATCATCAATAATTTATACATTTAATTAAAATAAATATTTAATTTATTAATTTTTTAAATTAACATTAATTTTTATGAAATATTTATAAAATTAATTATAATGATATATTTATAAAAAAATTATTAAAATAATATTTTTAATTAAAAATCTTTTAATTATTAAACTTATATATTTAAAAAATTATTTTCCTATGGATTAATATTGGCTGAAAATTCTACAGGAAAAGTTGCCTACAAAATTTTTCTACCATTTAGTAAACATTATTTGTGAATTTATTTTTACAAGAAAATATACAAGGAACAAAATAAAATTCTTACAACATTTTTCGCAAATTTTTTCTATGGAAAATTTTCTATGACCATTAAATTTGTATCAAAATTTTCAAAAAAAAAATTATAGATTATTTTTTATAAAACAAAATTGTAAGAAATATCTGTAAATTATTTTTATCAAATAAATTTGTAAAAACAATTTAAAATTATTATTGCAAGAAAATTCACAAAACATTTCTGTGAATATTTATTTTGTTAAAAAATGACATTTTTCTAATGGTTGATCCATAAGTACGAGTAATGTTTTAATAATTAATTAATATTAAATAACTGATAATTAAAAATTATATTTAATTAGTAATTATATATATTATTAATTATTAATTACATTAATTTTAAATTATGACACTAAATTTAATTAAAATATCAATTATAAAAAATAATAAATAGCAAATAAACATTATTAATTGTAAATAAAATAATATGTAATTATTGATTATATTAATTTATATAAAAATTTTATGTTTGCTACTATTAGGAGTAATTTGAAATTGAATTAAATTAATATATATATATATATATATATTATCAATTTTATTAATGTATAATTAAGAAATTAAATTTAGTTAAAATGTGAGTTATAAAAAATAATTAATAATATGTAATTATTATTAATTATAAGTGTAATAAATATCTATTTGTATTTATAAATTATATTAATGAAAAAAATATCAAATATTTGTGATATTTATTGATATATTATATTATTTATTCATTTTTTTCATGAGCTATAATAACCTTCCATTTAAAATTTAAAAAAGAAAATTAAGAGTTTTCATTCAAAATGAGTTTGATTTTAGAAAAATGGTTAAAAGCAAGTTTGATAACTAAATTTTTTATTCTATAATTTTTCTTTTTTATTTATATTTAACAGGTTAATGTAGCATAGACCATCAAATTTATACACAAAATATGTAATAGAGTGAGAATTGAATAGTTTTAATGAATGTGCGAAAGAATTTTATATTATAGATTATGTAGTTATTATCTTTCTTAACTAAAATATCTACAAATTGATCTAGAAAGAGAATTGCACAATTGTAAAGTGATAATTAATATATATTCTTCAGCTACTGAATGTTAAGAATCAAGACATTATTTTCAGTATTATATGCGCATCGTTTATTTTTTATTTGTAATTTTTGTTTATTGATTTTATATTTTTAATTCTAATTATTCTTCGATACATCTGAGTTGAATTTCAAAATTAGTGTATTAAAAATCTAAAACATAATGCATTTCTTTCATTATGATAAAGTATATGTATATATCTTCTCCTAATCTCTTTAAAAAAATCTGAGATGGCAATACGAGTCTGCGTCTCAACTTTTATAAAGGTGGTAATTAGAGTTTAGTGGGATTAATTAACCTGCTTATGCATTAAAGAGGGTTTAAAATTATTTCTTAGACTTTCAACTGAAACTGCACTCACTAACCTATCAATGAATAAAGAAGGTATATCAAATGTTGAAATGGGTAGAGTGTGTCACGTAAGTAACATTAAAGGTTGGTATGGAAAAATTTGAGCTTTCTAAAAATCTGAGTTGGCCACACCAAATAGATAGATAAATCTTTTTCAACCATCTCAAGTCTTTTAATTATAACCAAATCATCTAACTTGCATCGTCCGAGTGAAGTATTTTTTATACAATTAAAAAATAATAATAAATATTTTTTAATATATAAAATATATTATGGATTTATAATAACTAATTTAAGTATGGTATAATTTTTATAATTATTTTTATATTTTTTTAAAAACATTAATAACATTTCATTTAGAGATAGAGATAAAAGAACGTACATTGAACTCAGCTTTTATCATCAATTATTTTCTTCAACCCACCCACAAACATGTCAGAACAATATATATTTCCTTACTTTACTAGCAGCCTTCCATCAATATATATTCTCTATTTATCCTTTAAATATTTATTTATTTTCCTTTTTACCATTTTTATATAACATATAATTTTATTTTATTTTCTCATCTTCCACTTACAAATAATAGGATTTTGTTTTATTTTATTATTTTCTTTTTTTTAAAAAGAATATATATTTTACGATTTCCAACCATTAAACTATTTACAATACGAGGAAAAAAAAAATACATTATTAGTGTAAAAAAATTTCGTTTTCATTATAATTTAATTACAAATTAACATGTATAAAGTTTATTAACTTTATTGATAACAACTATCTTAAAAACTATTAAAAATAATTTTTAATTTACTGACAATGTAAAAAAAAAAATTCTTGACAACTCATATTCATTAAACTCTTTCAATATTTATTTTATTATTTGAGTACTAAACTTGAAGATACTAATAATGCCATATAATAAGTTTATTATATTTTTCTATTATTTTAAATATTTTTATATCACACTATATATTTTAGCCATTATATTATCTATATTATTTAATTTATTATTTTAAACATTATATACTTCTATTACACTGATCTATACCTATTATAAAAAGGGAATATCATAATATATAATCATTTTTTGTTTTTACTTTTAAGTAGATCATTGTATTCTTCGTATGTTAATAAAAGATAATTTGTCATCCTTTTTAAATAATCATCCACAGAAATTTAATATCTTACATATATAATTGCTCGATTTCTCTAGTTAAAATAATGAAAAAGTGAGTTTTACTTAATTGGATGATTTATTTTATTTTTAAACTTGTTTAAAAATATTTTAAGACTCAATATAAGATTAATAGTTAACATAATGAAAAAAAAATAATTTTAACTTAAACTGAATGTTTTATTTTATTTTTAAACTTGTTTGAAAATATTTTAAGATTCCATATAAGAATAATAGTAGAATACACGATATAAAAAACTATAATATTGACAAAATTAATAAATTTTTTATTAATAATGTGATTATAAAAATTATACGATCTAAAAAGTTATAATAATTAAACTAAAAATATGATTAAAATAATTAATCTATAATAAAAATTGCACTAATTTAAAATTCATTAAAAACTAAAATTTTAAATACCCGAAATATATTGTTACCAATAAAATAAATTAACATTCATATAAAATATTATATATACATATTTGTTTCTATTGTTTTGTATTTTTAAGCTATTTTCAACATATATTTTACCAAACTCTTATAACTAAATATCACATTTCAGTATACCCTTCGTGAAGATCATGGGTATGCTGATTAGTTGACGTAGTTTGTTGTTAGGAATCAACTTTGGTTATCATCTTTGACTCTTGTCCTCCTCCTCTACGTCAAACTTTGTTTGCTGATATAGCTAGAGTTTTATTTCATTGTTCTTAGTTCGTTTTAATTTTCAGAAAGATGAAAAATAAAATCTTATAGTTCAATAAACTAACTTAACAGCTTTCAATTACCAACGACCAATATTTAACTGGCAATTAACTTTTCAGCTTTCAACCAGTTTTTTTACCAACTTTTACAAAACAGTCAAGTGTAATAACACTTTTTTTATTAAAAAAAAAAACAGAAGAAAAAAAAGTGCAGCAACTTTTGTTCACCTGTAATTTGTTAAAACTCTGTAATTGATAG